GATTTATTCTTTGACCAATTAGATCATGAAGAAGACGGATTTGAAGTGATTGCTGATTACTTTTCAAAGAATACGACGGCCTTTGCCAAACTTATTGATTAAATGTCAAGCTAACAAAGCAGCATTGTAACAAAACCTCTTAATATATAGTTCATCTCTACATTTCCCATATTAAATACTAAACACTTTATTTATTAAAGGAAGATTAAGTATAGATATCACTGCATGTCATGATTAACACCACGAATATCGCTTTATTTAAAACCTATTGGATTTTGAAGACACATTTGGTATAATCTTTCCCACTGGGAGTTGAGCATATGTACAACCATTGGAGGTATAGGCGTACCATTGAGAGGCAAAGGTGTATGATTTTTTATAACCTTGGCTATACAACCAGCTTGTTCTTTAGTCGGGTTTTCAAGTCCCAAAACTTGGACGAGTGGGCTGATAGATATACTTTCTGCTTCTGTTAAGCCAGGATAGATAGGTGCGGTAAAACCAGTAGCAAAGAAGCTAGCCAAGAGAGCGAGGGTCAAGAGTTTGAATTGCATTTTCTATGTTCTTTTTGAATGTATAAAAAATGGATTAAAGTCAATCCCAGTTCCCTTTTTTATAATGAATTTCGGCGGCGTTAACAAGGTTTATGGTATAGTTTATGATGCAGAAAATGGATTCGAAAAAAGGAGAAAAGTGCATATGGCTGATCCTGGAGGCAAACATCAAGGGATCTGTAGATGGATAAATGTTCTGATAAGAGGCTTAAAGTGCATTTTACTATTGACACCAAAGTAGATCGTGAAGTAAGAAGTCGAAGCAGCCAAATATCGCTTTAGCTTGGGTCTGTCAAGACATAAAGTGTTATATGGCTCACTTTCACATATTGGCATAATTGATTCTCTTTTCTTCAATCCCTTATGACTTTGTTATCATATATTAACTCTGTTCAACTTACTAAAGAATTGTTTGAAATGATTGACATTAGAATGAAACGGAAATAGCAATGTGCACCTTGTAAACTTCAAGATGTTTTGCTTATTCAATTTTTGTAGAAGAGTTTATTGAAATACATAAAAATCACTACTGGTTATCAGGGGTAAACTATTGACAATTTAGAAAGACGTCAGGCACAATAAGATGGCCTGAGAAACAGCAGAAGGGATAAATGGTTGGCTCATTGGATACAGCCCTCCAGTGAGTTTGCCATATACACCAAAAGGTGCACTCGATGATATTTTTCAGGTGGGAGTTATCGGATACTCATCTGAAGGCATCACTAACCTTGAATGCTTTAAATGCCCATTTAGTCAAATCGAAGCTGTGTGACGGCCATTTGATAGTCTCTGTCAACAGTAGAGATAAGCAGATATCTATGCAAACTTTGGATGGCTCTGTCAACAAACCGTTAAGTACAGTAGTAATTGATGCAGAGCTTCAAATGGGTAATCAAGGGCCAGAACAGGTAAAGAAGATACGCCTAGATTATTGTTTGCGAACGAACCTAGTCTTAACGATGGAAGCAAGAAAGGGAAGTGTTGGATCGTTGGTTAACTATGGTCATAGGCTGAGTAAATGGGTTTTTAACAAAAAGCTGATAAAATTAGAGCGTTCTTGATTGAGTAAGAGAGAAGTTAACCATTGACACTGAAAAGTAAGTTGTCTGCCTACGTTAAAAAAACTACAACAATGATACATAGTGTCTCCTACGAAATGCTTTATTGTATAGAATATTGTTACAAAAGAACAGAAACAAGAGAAAGAGAGCAATAGGACAGGATATACTTTAATATACTCATTACGTATACAAAGTGAATAAACACCTCTTCTTTTGAGAAGGTGTATATTAGATAATCGAAATGTTCCCAAAAAACGGGTCTGAATATCGAAGGAGCAAAATTATCCAATGATGACGAATCAGAGATAGGATTCTCCTTTCATAAAGTTCTTCCCCCGCGCAGCTGAAACATTATTCAATCGAAAACACGATCTAAATCGGTTTGACGCAATACCTACGCAACCCATGGAATGACTGCCTACCAATGACGCTAACCAATGTAAACAGAGTCAGGCAAAAGTAAAAAGGATATAAAAAGGGAGTAACAAGAATATCGTTGTCGTTATTGTGTATACAAAAAAAAAAAAATGAATTTTGCTGCTGTCACGCAATTTTGTGCAATTGATAATATCGAAAAGAATACCGAGGTCTGTGTGGGTCTCATCAAGCAGGCTGCTGAACATAGAGCAAAGGTATAGCTAGGGACGTGTTTTTTCTTAGTAGATACTAACTACGATGGTTCAGATGGTATTCCTTCCAGAAAGCTCTGATTTCATGTCATCTTCTCAGGACCAAATGCTCGAACTTGCTGCACCTCTAGACTCACACTCATTTTTAAACAACATTCGTAGAGCGGCTAAAGAATACAGTATCTGGGTCTCTGTAGGCATCCATGAATCATCATCCGAACCAAAGAAAGTGAATAACGTACATGTGATCGTAAATAACAAGGGAGATATAGTCTCTATATATCGCAAGACACACATGTACTCGTCAGATATGAACGATGGTCCTACTGTAGATGAAAGTGAAAGCACTACACCTGGAGATGAAATTACACCTCCTGTTGACACACCACTCGGTAAGATAGGCTCACAAATTTGTTATGACTTGAGATACCCCGAGATCAGTATCAAGTTGCGCAACAAGGGTGCCGAGATTCTTACCTTCCCAAGTGCCTTTACACCCAAGACAGGTGCACACTGGGGTAAGCATAGAGAAAGTATGAATATAAATTACTCATATGAATCCCTTAGAAATCCTGTTACGAGCAAGAGCAGTTGAGAATCAAGCATTTGTCATTGCCTCTGGACAAATAGGTCAGCATAATGAAAAGAGAGAAAGCTTTGGACATGCCATGATTGTTGATCCATGGGGCACTGTATTAGCAGAATGTGCAGATAACGCAGAGATACCTGGTATGGCCATTGCTCCTATAGATATTGGTTACTTGAAGCAAATTCGAAAGGAACAACCTGTGTTTGAGAATAGACGTTATGATTTGTATCCAAAGATAGAATAAATCCTGTTGTCATTGCAACCTGACTAAAGCCACCCAATGATGTTTTTTCAAGTAGCGCCTTTCACATTTGCTCTCGCATAATTTAGTAGTGAGCAACTTTTTTTTTTCTTTTCAAACTTTTCTATTCCCCTTTTTTTGTTATATATATATATATACATAGTATTCCCCATGTATGATTCCAGTAGCGATGAATTCGATGCAGATATGTATGATAGTGATGTTAACTCAGCGTATGATATGATATGTGCGTGTATAATAGATGATGAAGGAGAAGAATATGAGTTAATAGACGAAGACGATGAAGATAGCAAAAATACGAATCATACTAGTGACACATTCATGTTACCTTCGCAGCAGTTACAGGAACTGTCAATATCAAATCATAATGAACAGATCGAGCAAGAAGAGGCATCAGACACGACACGGGTACTGACTGGTGAATCGACTGAAATGACACTTGACGTGAAAACTGAAACTAATCAAGCTATAAATCAAGAGATCCAACTTAAAGAAAAGGAAATCTCAGAAAATACCTTTGTTAAGAGTGAGAGTACAAATAAAGTACGAAGAATGAGGCCTAAAAGAGAGGTTAAGGTGAAATCAGAAGAACGAGAAGTAAGAATACCTCGCAAGATGACACTACGGAAAGATGTTTCACGACCAAAGACAGAAACTAAAAATGACAACAAGCTTCAAGTGATAAGAAGAAGAAGGATAAAGAGAAGGAGAGTGCAGACGGTGTTTGACTCAGACGATGAAGAAGGTATTAGGATTCAAATGGAAAGAATTAAAAAAGCCCAGAAAAGGAAATGGAATCCTAAAGCAACCATGAACACGATCAATCGATTGACTGATCGAGATATTGATGAAATAGACACAGATGATTTGGTGGAGCAAACAGAACAATTACCCCCCTTAATAATACCTGATATCCTTAAAGAAAGCGTCATTAAAAAAAAGAAGAAACTAAAGAAGCAGTCAAAGAACAAGACAAGACGAAGTTAAAAAAAAAAAGGGCCTTATTTATTTTGTTTTTTTACTCGTTGGATAGCTCAGCCAACTGGTCTCCTTCTTCTTGGTTTATTTTGTGTTTATCATTAAATGCACTGTAGATCTTGTTCATTAGTTCTTCTGAACTTGTATTTGTTAGTTCTCCCAAGACTGCTGTTTTATCTGGAATAACGTGTTCCTCTGATTTATACTTTGGTGTATCACTGTCAATATCATCAGACGGATCATGTATGGGTATTATCAAATGATGTGATCGCTTATTATTATTATTACTACTATTAATATTGTTGTCATTCAGTCCAGCTGGATATAGTTGTTGATGTATGGGTGGCGTAAGTGACCCTTCAGAGCATGGACTATGGTTACTACTACTACTACTACGACTACTAGTGCTACTACTTCTACTAATATAATTTGTGGTGTTGATTTTGCCGATATCTCCCTTATAACAAATACAGAATCCTTTCAACTTTTTACATTCTAAACATAGATTACTATCTATATAAGCAACACATTAAGTTAATTATTATCGAGAATAAGAAAATGTACCTCTAGATTCTATAGATCTTAGTGTCTTTTGCTTCAAACGACATTCACACTTGAGATGCATCTGCTTAGTCTTTCTTAACTGTCTACAGCGTTCACATTGAGTGACAGGTCTTCCTTTTCTTTTGATTTCAATCAACTCTCTATCGACATGTTCACATTTTGAAGATCGATGTCCCTAAGAAAATGATGAATACAAGTAGGATTCATACAAATCTATTGTTTTACTTTGATGCAACTTATACAAGCAAATTTCTTTTGTGTACCGTCTTCTTGCTTTATGTACACCATTCGACTTTGTTGTAATGATAAGCTATAAAAGGAGAAAAAATACCACGTTTATTTGTGACCTTGATGAAATGGGTTGTACTTACTGTGTGAAAGAGAAAAAAGAAAGAAAGAGAGAAAGAGAAAGAGAAAGAGAAAGAGAGAGAGAGAGAGAGAGAAAGGGGGGAGAAAAAATAGATTTTATTGTGTCTCTTTCTCTTTCACAGTTTTTTTATTAAAGTAGGTCTATTGATGTCTCTGTTGGTATGCCATCGTCTTTGCATCTTAGGTCAGTTATACCGACATTGCCTGCTAGAATTCCCATAATGACAATCAAG